ATTATTATTAGGTAATTACATTCAAGGTAAAGCTTTCAGTATCTTGCATATTTAATGATATTTGAATATCTAGACTGAGTGGAAACATTTTATTTGTTTTAGCTTGAACCGACAACTAATCATGGAATACAATGTACACGTGTAAAACACAGCGGTGTAAACAAAAATGTGAAGAGGAAGTAAAAATATCGAGTACAAGAATCAATGCCCTTTTGTTGTGCCTACTTGTTGTATCAGATTTATTTCGCTCCACTCTCTATGTTCACCACGTGGACATTTACCACTTGTTGATTACCTTCATCAGCTGGACTTTCCATGATGTCATGATGAGAGCAGCCATCAACCACAAACGTGTGAGGGGAGCCAAGCAAGCAAGGACAACCGGGAGACAAACCCAGGGAGTATGTATAGTACAGCCGATGGTGAGTCTTCGATACAGGAATATCGAAGGCTGCACGTCCACGCTTGATCTGCACAGTTCATAAATGACGCGAGGCTACTGACTCGGGTAGCAGGTAACCTAGCAACTAGAAAAAATACTCCAGTTGCTAGAACATTCAGCAGCCGTCCCGGCCATCTCAGACCAACAGGTAAGGCTTGATTTCAGTTCCCGCACCATTTCGCCCAACATAGGGAGAATCCCCGAAGCTCATAACAAAGCTTCCAGTGACGTGGCTTGGTCATCCAATCAGAACACAATATACAGGGATTCTCTATTCTTCCGTGCGGATGGAATAGACGCTCATGTCAAACAACCTGTGAGAGAAAAATTCTGGCGTGGCAAGTTTGTCGTTCTAGCCACCATACCAAGCCAAGAAGATGGTACATTAACCAAGTTATATGATTCCTCAGTTAAAATCATTTTTAAACCCATAAAGCAGCAACCCAAGCACCTGTCTTTGGCAGCTTTCCACATTTTCATGTATACTCAACAACAAAAGTTCATGTGACACCAATATTTTAGTGTACTTTTCAAACAAGTAAAGTTTGGTTTTCAATATTGCAAAAGGTGACTTTCATGCAAGCCCCATGCATTTCACTACCCAAGAATGGGTATAAAAACATGTGCGTTGACGGGATTCCATATGCTTTGTTTAGCATCATGCTGACAACAACCACTCAGAAAAACAACAAAATTACGCAATTATTCAACATTACGAAATGCCACGCCTGTCCGTAAATGAGTGTCTGCGAGCCATTGGTATGCTTGAAGCAGGATCGAGTCAACGTGATGTTGCAAGACAATTTAACGTCCACAGAAACACCATTTGGTGTTTATGGCAATGTTGGCAACAGATGAATGCAGTCAGGGACCATCCTCGGAGTGGCAGGCTATGCATAACCAATAATCGACAAGACAACTGGATTCCAACAACACACCTACGAAATCGATTCCAGCCAGCAATGGTGACTGAAAGAAGCATCCCTGGCCTTTGACGAATATCTTCACGAACCGTACGTCGTCATCTCAGATGTGCAGGGATTGTTGCCAGAAGACCCGCCAGATGTCCAATTTTGACAGGAAACCACTGTCAAGCACGTCTACAGTGATGCAGACAGTGTCTTCGCTGGACGGCCACGCAGTGGGGACAAGTTCTATTCACTGACGAGTCTTGTTTTCACCTCAGCCACAGCGACGGACTGATTCAAGTGTAGTGACGTCGAGGTGAACGTTACGTCAATCATTGTGTCATGGAAGAAGAGCGGCAGCATTATGGTATGGGGTGGGATTACAGCAAGACAGAGGACCCGTTTGATAGTGGTAGAGAGAAATCTCAATGGACAGCGCTACTGAGACGAGATCATCGGCCCTGTTGTTCTCCCGATTTTGCATCGTCATGGCCCAGGCATTACCTTTCAACATGACAACACCCGGCCTCATATTGCTCGACTTGTTCAGGATTCTCTTCAACAAAATAATGTGAATGTCTGCCCACGCTGGCTCGCTCCCCTGATCTCTCACCAATCGAGCACATGTGGGATGAGATGGATCGGCGCCAACGTCAACCACTCTAGGAACTTCGAAACATGCTCCAGCAGATATGGACAGATATCCCACCAATTGTTTCAGATTTGGTAAAAAACATAACTTTGCATTAAATCTTATTCAATGTCACAATGTCACAGGAACTTTTGTTGTTCAGTGTATATATATATATATATATAGTCAGCAGGCACACACAATGCAGGGGTTGCTATCCTACATCGAAACCATAAGGACAGCGGCCTTCGATTCGGAGGTGATGCCTGGTCAACCTACGACCAACAATTCTTACTCAGAATGTCAAGGGACCCCTCATGCCGCTGGGACAACATTGATGGGGAGCTGTGGCAGAAGCACATGGTTACACAGCAGGTACGACAACCATAGTCAGACGGATGGGGCACAATGACACAAGGGGGCATTGCCAGTAAGGCATGCTGGGACTTGAATAAATTTGGTTGTAGCAGGCATAACTGTAAGTACGCTCACAAATGTGGCAGAAATTCCCACAGATCTAGGACCTGCTTTCGAGGGAATGGGGCCCAACAGACCTCATACAAGCCCAACCAATCTTTTCCTGACAGCAAACAAGTCGCCAAGAAAGGTGGATCTCAATGAAATGGCATCCTGTTTACACCAATATGCTAGGTTAATTACAGAGGACAACTTCATAATGGGGGGCACAGCGGGCACCTGCCACTGCTTAGACGACTCAAGGGATGCATACATACACTGGAACAGTTTGGGGTCCCTATTGCCCATGACAAGACTGTCGGCCCCGCCACACAACTGACATTCTTAGGGCTGGAGATTGACACCAATGCAATGCAGATCAGAATCCCAGAGTCCAAGATCAAGGAGGTGACAGCAGAAATCCAAGACATCCTGTCGACAGGTAACATAAAGGTCACAAAAAGGGCCCTTCAGTCCCTCATAGGCAAGCTTAACTTTATGTGCAGGGCTATACCAATGGCAAGGTCATTCAGACATAGGCTCATGGACCTGCTTTGCAAAGGCAAGCAACCATTTCACCACATTAGGATTACCAACTGGGTCAAGGAAGACTTGCAAATGTGGTTAACATTTCTCACCGGTTATAACAACATTTCAGTGTTTCAGGATTAAAGGGTAGACAATGATTATCTCCAGCTGTTTCCAGATGCGGTGGATGGGGCTGGCTTTTGGGCCAAGCTGCAGGGCAAATGGTTTAGATGGCCAAACCAGTGGGTGACGGATGGAACTACATGCGACTAGACACTACTGGAGCTGTTCCCCATCACACTGGCCATCCAACTTTGGGGCAAGCAAACAAAAAGGTCCTCTTCTACTGCAACAACCAAGTCGTCATCGCAATAATCAACAAACAGTCTACTAAAGCCCCCAGAGTGATGAGCCAACTCCACCACCTAATCCCTCAGTCCCTCCGGAATAATATTCTGTTTAAGGCAAAGTATGTCCGTACCACTGCTAACACTATTGCCGATGCTCTCTCAAGGTTTCAGCTCGAACGCTGCAGCACCATGCGTGGACCAGAACCCCACACCTATCCTGTGCAACACATGGCTGATCTATGGCGAGAAGCTGGTAGACCACTACAACAATCTCTGCCTTACAACAGTTCCGGTCTGCACATTAGCTGCAAGAGGTGTGGCAAGTCCCGCTGGATCAGGTTGTAAACTTTATTGCTTATCTGTCAGTGAGTCACCACTCCCCTAACACAGTCAAGACTTATATTGCAGCACTGTCTTCACAGCACTAACTCACCGGGGCTCACCGATTGTACAAACCAATCCTAGAGGGGAAGCTATTAACAGGCTTACACAAATTGGCGGGCCGACCATATAGAAGAAAACCCATCACGGCAGATCTGCTGCAGGTAGTAACCAACAATCTGACACATGTAAGTTTGTCAGCATATGAAGCCAGAATGTTCAAGGCAGTCTACTGTACAGCCTTCTTCGGTTTCTTTTGGGTAAGTGAGCTGGTCCAAGCTGGTCCAAGCTGGTCCAAACTGGACCCTCCAAACAAGGTTGTTCCATCCATTATCTAAGGTTCTCCAACATCTATCAATACACCTCCCACACTCAAAGAGTGATCAGTACAATAAGGAGGCAACAGTCACATTGACATCTATACCAGGTAATCTACTATGTCCGGTAGCACCTCCAATAGCCGCTCTGGCCTGCAACATGCATTCGTTCATTTCGATCATTCACCAGTTACTAGGTACTAATTTCACTTCTTAAAAAGGTCTCAGCACACAGCAACATAAATACTGCTTGCTATTCTTCTCACTCCTTCGGAAATTGAGCGGCCACAGCAGCAGCCATGAACACCTCACACAGCAATATGGCGGGTGGAAGTCAGATTGTTACAATGCTTACATACAATTACCAACAAATTTAGTGCTACACAACTAGGTGAGGTGAAATTGGGTTTAACGTTGCGTCCAAGATTATTGCACTTATATAGTGACATGCATGCAAGTGTGTGTGTTTGTGTGTGGCTGCTTGTACTAGTCTGGACTGATGCCGATTTATAGTGCTAGCCCACTGAGATACCATGCTGCAGTTTAACATGAATACCCCACTCAGACACAGTATACTGACTCTGGGTCGACCAGTCCTTGTTTTAGCCCCTTAATGCCGAGTGCCAGACAGGGTTACAACAAGTACAATCTTTTAACATCTTTTGGTCTGACGCAGCTGGGGATCGAACCCCGGACCTTCCGCTCTCTGGGCGGACGCTCTACCACTAGACCACAGAGGCGGTTTGCTACACAACTAATTAAAATATTCTATACATGGTACTTACTACACTACTTATCAGTTTGGATGGTAGCTAGGTTCCAGCTACCTGGTCAGGCCACAGCAGTACCTGCCTCTGAAGGGCAACCAGTACAAGTCAAATCTTACTTTGATGTTGTAATCTATAGTATGTCTCTGACAGCAACACAAGATGAATTCTTTTTGATATTTGGATATTGATTCACTTGGTATGATGGAGTGGCTCTTACCTGGATGTGATCACCCACAGCAATGTTCCTGATGGTCCCTGCAGCATGTCTCTGAGCCTCCCAGTTGTGACCACTATTGAGAATTCTACACATATCAGGCAAGAAGTCTTCACTCACAATTGAAAGCTGAAAGATCAATTGCACTGCATGGACTGATGCTTACTGAATGATAGGAGTCAAACATAACAAGCATGAAATACTCACATCCCCTGCCAATATGACATGTCGGGTTTGTGCAATGCATTAGCTCCTGTGAACTATGTTCACTGGGCCTTTTTGTAAAGAAATATAGTACGTTTTTCAAAATCTGCTCCGGAAACGAGGACTACCTCCATTTTTAGTCTAAATCAAAGTCATTGCCATGGAAACTCTAAAAAATAACTTTTAAAAAAAATCCTAAACTATCAAAAGGCACCAGTTCACCACTCGACCTACCAATGCGCAAAATATGGTGAAGAAAATGGTACGGTTTTCAAGATCTGCTCCAGGAAACGAGGACTACCACCATTTTCAATCTAAATCAAAGTCGTTGCCATGGAAACTCAAAAAATATTGTTTTTAAAAATCCCAAACTATCAAAGGCACCAGTTCACCACTAGACCTATCTATGTGCCAAGTATGACGAAGAAATATGGTACGGTTTTCAAGATCTGCTCCTAAAACGAGGACTACCGCTTTTTTCAGTCTAAATCAAAGTCGTTGCCATGGAAACTCGAAAAATAATTTTTTTTAAAATCCCAAACTATCAAAAGGCACCATTTCACCACTAGATCTATCTATGTGCCAAGTTTGGTGAATAAATATGGTACGGTTTTCAAGATCTGCTCCGAAAACGAGGACTACCGCCATTTTCAGTCTAAATCAAAGTCGTTTGGAATGGAAACTCGAAAAATAATTTTTTTGAAAATCCCAAACTATCAAAGGCACCAGTTCACCACTAGATCTATCTATGTGCCAAGTTTGGTGAATAAATATGGTACGGTTTTCAAGATCTGCTCCGGAAACGAGGACTACTGCCATTTTCAGTCTAAATCAAAGTCGTTGCCATGGAAACTCGAATAATAAAAAGAATTTAAATCCCAAACTATCAAAAGGCACCAGTTCACCACTAGACCTATCTATGTGCCAAGTATGGTAAAGAAATATGGTACGGTTTTCAAGATCTGCTCCGGAAACGAGGACTACTGCCATTTTCAGTCTAAATCAAAGTCGTTGCCATGGAAACTCGAATAATAAAAAGAATTTAAATCCCAAACTATCAAAAGGCACCAGTTCACCACTAGACCTATCTATGTGCCAAGTATGGTAAAGAAATATGGTACGGTTTTCAAGATCTGCTCCGGAAACGAGGACTATCGCCATTTTCAGTCTAAATCAAAGTTGTTGCCATGAAAACTCGAAAAATAACTTTTTTTTTAAATCCCAAACTATCAAAAGGCACCAGTTCACCACTAGATCTATCTATGTGCCAAGTTTGTTGAAGAAATATGGTATGGTTTTCAAGATCTGCTCCGGAAACGAAACGGCACCCATTCCTATATCCCCCTTCCACTTCGTGGAATAACTTGACTGAACTGGATTAACAGGCTTTAGAATTTAGTGCGTAAGTTAAGCCAACATTTTATTCAGAGAAAAGGTTAATGCATGCCAAAAATCATATACAAAATTATAAACGACCTACTTTAAACCAACATCCTTTGGAGATTTGTGCTCAGCTGTGTGTGAGTCTCACTTTTGACCATGTTAGTTTTTAGCAATTTACCTTGCCATATTGAATTTGGCCTGAATTTGGCCTGCCTTGTCTCTCTAGAATACACGTCGATTTAGGATACAAGAAGAAATTTTCTTAAATTCATTGATATCTGTTCACACTCCAGTCTGATGTGATTTGTTGATAGTGAGCAATTAAGTTAATATCTAATACTGATATTGGAAATTTTAGTATAAATTATCTATTTATATACTTATTCTATCTCACACTTTGCATTTCTCCCTTCTTCTTTGATCTTATGTGGGAACATGCTTGAATCATGTTTCCAGCTTCTGAAAATAAAAATAGCCATCCAAGCCCCTCCGCATCTCCATGTTTACGTCCAAAAGCTAGGTCAATTATGTGCCTCTTGTGCACGCAGTGCCAGCTTGAACTGACCATGTGTGCACCTCTACCAATTCATTCTCTTTTGCAGAGCTTTATAAGGCTAGAGTAATGAGATGCGGGGATAGTCGGTTGGGCCTATCGTGTGTGAGATAGGATCAGTATATAAATATACAATTATTACTAAAATTTCCAAATTTTTAAACTTATCCTATCTTACACTATGCATTTTATCCCATGGCTGGATGATGGGCCGCAGATACCCTAGCCTGTATAGACTACAACCGTGAGATATGCACGAGGAAGCTGGGTCTAGACATTTTAATTTTGAATTTGTTTTTGAATTTTTGAAAACCGTCTATTGTCTAAAAGACATGAGCGGGACTCGTGAGCGGGAAAAAAACATGATGAACCGGTGTTAACGATCCCGATACGTTACTCAAATGAAACAGCATGAGATCGGGTTAACATGCCAAACATTTTTTCCCGTATGTTATTGTACATATAGAAGGACTGTGTAGCTGTAAACGCATAAGCGAAACGGCAGACGACTTAAAATCCATCCTGGAAGGACATCAATTCGTCAAACAAAACACACAACTATCTCCCATGAACCACAGAGTGCACTAGGTTTGGTAACCCTTTTAATGCTTCGTCATGGTTATCAAACACATTCGAGTGTATTGTCATAGCAACTGATTTACAACACCCATTGTCTGAAGAACATTCATTACCCTGGAGCCATGACATCTATATGCCTTGAAACACCTAATTGCTGTTATTTATAAGATGCTAATCCTATTTGTTAATCCCCATTTTTGTGTACATCGACCGTCTGCCATCCTGAACAAGATGTGCAAGTATGTCACTGATCATTTACTGTTTACATTTATATTTATTACTTAGTAAATGTCAGGTGACCTTGGATATATAAGCCTTGGTCCAGTGAGGTTGAAAAAGAGAGAAAAGAAAGGTCTTACCCTTAACCCTGCTAGGGTTAGGCTGGGTGCTCCGGGGCACCTAGACAACAACCACTACCACTATGTGCTGACCTGGCACATAGTGTCTTTTGTATGTATATATCTACATGTATAAAGTAAAACTGTATATACCGCAAGCCATAGTCTCCAAGTTGTCACTTCTTACTGAGAACTGTACATCGGCCCCTTGCATATAAGTATGCAAATTATAAATTAATCAACATCAGACCACACGCGTTGTTAATTTGGTGGAGCTATCGGGTATGACAGACTTCTTAGTCTGTTCTTTCCTGTACCTCTTTGCAGCATGGCATATGGTTCACAAAACTTAAGGAAGTGACAGTCTCTTATTAAAAGGATATACTACCTTCCTGAAGGCCAATCACCAAGAACGAAGAAACGGCCTTTAACAAGATTGAAGAAAGAACAAGAACCTCTCCAATCAAGAACAAGTTCTCCGATCCCAAACCTTCCCTGCTCGAATATCTTAGCAACACTGCTAAGACTTCCCCTTCAAGATGTCGTTCCTGCACATGACCTAAGAAAAGAAGCATACACGCCTATCCCTCAGAGACCCGACCACAGCCATCTTCATGCAGACCCTGCACAATACAGAAACCGCCTCATGGGCACCTACAAGATGGACACTGTGTACAAGATATCTCATGGGGACTTACTAATTTGTGTTTACTTATATGGACTCAATCAAGGATATATATTGTGTGACTGTTGAAAAATGCAACCAGGTATGTTTAATCAAAGCCAGTATATTAATGCCAAAATGTGTCTTTCCAAAATTCAGTTTTGTATATGTGCAATATACTCCAAATTACATCTTTAGTCAAGGTAGATCTTTGAAGTTATTGTGTAGGGAATCTTTGAAATGTCTCCAGGCCACGCCAGACATATAGTTGCAGCTAGGGCCCAGACAAACCTAAGCTGTAGGGTTATCGAGTCACCTTAAAGCTCGACAAAATTTGTCATTTGTTACAAGTTATTAATGTGCACAGTTTGGTACAAAATTGAATGTATTGTCTAGGACTTTGAATTCCGATTAGGGATATTCTTGGGTGAGCCACCCCACACACATGTTTATTGTATGTCAGTATTAAGTAATTAACAGCACAGCGGTATTCAGCATTTCAGAGTTTTGATGTCAGAATTAAGGATTTTTTTTCTTGGGCATCGCACCCACAATATCTGGGCAAGCTCAATCAAAGTCACAGGAAGAGCACCCATTGTACTTAAAAGGGCAATAGTACCCACAAGTACCGTTTGAGTAACGCGGTAAAGTTAGACTCCTGGTTTCAAATTTCTTTGATGTTTAATTTGTACTTTTTATGACATTATTCATTATCATTATATGGTACTGAGTCGCACTGCCAAGCCAAACTCCTGAATTCAAAGAACCTTCAGTAATATATTTATTGAATCTGTGCAAAACGGTAATTACCTTGTAGTGAAATTGCACATTACGAAGATCACTTGGTTAGTTTTCAAACTGGCACTAAATCAAATTGGCTAGATGATCACTTTCATACTGTCATTGCATAGATATATTTGTTGCATAAGGATTTCATGTAACTGATTTTGTTCACATATGTATGGTTGTTTCCGTTGGTGAAAAAATTCACACATATCAATTTGGACTCATGTAAGCGTTGGGTCCAAGCTTCACGTAACGGAGGGAAGTTGTCATAGCGACTGATTTACAACACCCATTGTCTGAAGAACATTTAATTGCAAAGGCTCATTACCCTGGAGCCATGACATCTATGTGCCTTGAAACACTTAATTGCTGTTATTTATAAGATGCTAATCCTATTTGTTAATCCCCATTTTTGTGTACATCGACCGTCTGCCATCCTGAACGAGATGTGCAAGTATGTCACTGATGATTTACTGTTTACATTTATATTTATTACTTACTTAATGTCAGGTGACCTTGGCTATATACCGCAAGCCATCGTCTCCAAGTTGTCACTTCCTACTGAGAACCATACGTCGGCCTCTTGCATATATGAGAATGCAAATTATAAATTAATCAACGT